TCCTTCCTGGGACCCAGTTTCCTCATCTGAAAAACAAATCTTCCCCAGTTGCCCAGAAGTTGAAATTGTCTGCCATTTTTCATGCACTAAATTTGAAAGAAGTTTGAATCAGAAGATTTCTAGGGGAGAAAAATAGGCTACTAGTGTGTCTCACATCTGACACTGAGTTATATTTACATGTAAAATGTAAAGATGGCAAGTGGTTTAAAATAATTTAGCCATAAGTTGTTCTAAAAACATTCTGTGGAGAAAATATATATAAACAATTATGGACCAAATTATAAAGTGCCTGGTGTTTTAAAAGAAAACACAGAGAATACAGCAATCATTGCAGAGTCAGGAAGTCTAGTGGTAAACAACCTATGATTTACAGTATTTGTAAAATTTTTTCAAAAACTGCCTAAAATTGCACCATTTTCCTTTTCTTTCATTTTTTAACTGCTACATAAACAGTATGACAAGACGATTCCACGGTGCTTTGTCATTATACATACTCAGAATGCTTAAGCTGCTGGCTTAATGTAGCCCTTTTGCAGAACACAATTTCCTAGAACAATTTATTTTGGCCTCCCCGTTGGCAATGCCATGTAGCTGAGGATACTGGAATCGATATTGCTACATTTAAATCATGAATATCTTAATTTTAATGTGCTTTATAACCACTTTGATCAAATCTATGGTTTACATAAATTTAAAGAAACTCTGATGGAAACCTTTGTCTTCCATTTTCCAAGTTTCTAAGTGTGACCAGAGTGTCCTAGTGTCTGAAAATTGGATATACATTCAGCAAAAGCTCTTAGCATTTAGTACATTGTACACTTAAAACATATACATATGCATTCCACCGGTTCCCTCCATCTCACCTCTGCCTGTGTCCCTCTCCTCCCACATTGTGAGCTTCCAATGATGCAAAATTACTAGATTCCTAATTGCTTTTGATTTTTTTCCTGTCCTCATCGCCCAATCTAGGAGCTGTGGGAACTATGCTGAGAACAGGGGCGGCTGCACCGTCTCCTTTACTGTTAGGTTTCCAAGGGCTTGAAGCACTTGCGGCTCTTCTAGCACATTCTAGTGTGTATTCTAGTATATATATTTGCACATGTATATATGTATACACACACACACACACATACATATACATGTAGGGCTGGGCATGTAGCTCAGTGGTAAAGCACTTGTCTGGCACATATGAGGCTCCAGGTTTGATCCTAGCACTGAAAAATAATAAGTAAATAAATGAATGCACACTCGTACTTGAATTTTCTTAGATTGCTCCAAATAATTTCTTAGTAAAATCATTGTCACTTCTGTGTATAATCTTATGAATGTAGTCTTTATAGAACTCTTTATCTACTTGTGATCTAGCAGTTTTAATTTTGAAGCTTTTCCAAAAGAGCATTAGGTTCTTGCATTATTTTTAAACCTAACAGAGCCTACAATTTTTAAAATGATTACAGTTTTATAGATTAGGCATTTAACTCACCAGAAAAGTATAAAATATCTTATTCTTTCTTATCAGATCGAACCTCATAACCTAAAGGAATCTTTCAAGCCCTAGTTGTCTGAAGATAACCCATTTGCTTTTCACACTCTCAGTCTATTTATTTATTCACTTGTGGATTATTTGTAGAGCTGGGGACTGGACCCAGAGCCCTGCATGAACTCGACAGGCACCAAGTGTCGTGCCACTGAGCTACAGCCCCGGCCCCAAACCCACATATTTAAATTAAAATAGTACTCTTAAACATGTCTCATTTCTGGTAAGTTCCTAAGCCATAGCAAGCTGTTAAATATACTCTGGGGCAAAAACATACCACTTTTGCTACTCCCAGACATTCTATCCTGACCAGGTTCCGCCTGGCGGACAGCAGCTGCAGCCTGTCACTGACCTTTCCTCTCTGCTGTCCTCCTGGCAGGACTTCGCTCCTTCCACAGGCCAGCCTGTCCTTCCTGTGCCGCAGGTTCCCTCCGTCTCAGCTCTGCCGGTGTCCCTCTCCTCCCGCATTGTGAGCTTCCAATAATGTAAAATTATGTAGATTCTATTCCTAGTTGCTTTTGATATTTTTCCTGTCCTCATCGCCCAATCTAGGAGCTGTGGGAACTATGCTGGGACAGGGGCGGCTGCACTGGCTCCTTTACTGTTAGGTTTCCAGGGGCTTGAAGCACTCGCGGCTCTTCTAGCACATTCTAGTGAGTTTTCACGGGATGCTCCACTCCCTGCGTCATGAGTGAATGACTGCATCAGCATTTAAAGATTCCCGGTGTGTACTCGTATCTTTCATCCAGTCATTTTGAAGAGCAAGGGCTATTTTACTATCTCCTGGCCCCTGTGTCCCTATGGTCATGACCACTGTGGGCTAAAGATGAAACCATACTTAGAAGCATTGAAGATAGGGTCTCCTGGGTCTCATATCTCACTCTAAAAAATAAAGATTATAACATGGACAGTTGTTGGAGGGATCATTGGGGCCAGTTAATCACATCCAATTTTTTTTATTATTATTAAAAACAAACAAACCAAAAGTATAAAGTCACATTGTTACACCTGTAGTAAGAGTTCTAATGTCAATATACATGATGGAAAATCAGAGTAAAAACTTTCCCTGAAAGTTCTTTCTATGCATCTCCCCTAAAATATAGCATACATGGTCTTGTACACACCTCATCATGATTTAGTAAATATAACAGCATGATTTCCACCAGGGTTTGGCGGAAACAGAGCTGTTTCTTCCCTCAGGCATTTTGTAAAGTAGTTGCACTTTTAGAGATCATGGACCACGAAAAGCTCCTTTTTGTTTTTGAGTCCGTCCATTTTCCTAGTAAGTGCAAACAGTTCAAAATGAGCTTTTTCTGGAACACCATTGACTAGATTGTGCCAATGAGCTCATTCGACAAAGAAGAACCGCAGGCAAGATGGTGGTGACAAAGGCCTGGCTCACAATCAGCCCTTGAATGTCAAGTCTTGATGAACACTTTGAAAATTGGGCCCCAAATTTCCCCAAGTAATGTATTAATTTTCTAGTATATGTGTTAGCCTTGTTCTCTTATATAGGAATTGTTTTACCGAGAAGTAATTTTTTGCAGAAGTATTTCTATAAAATGAGAATAAAATCTATATTCTGGAAACATAGTTTCCTTATATGTAGCTACAAGTTATTTAAGGTAGTCTGTGTTTTAAAATCATAAAAAATTCACTTGATTTAGTGAATGTGAAAACACTACAAAAATGTAGGTGCCCTTCTTGCCACTTCTGTTCCACAAAATCAATTCTAGTCTTAAAAAGAAATAGTCTATGTAATTAACATGTGACCCACAATTTCACTCCTGGGCATTTGGCCCAGAAAAACGAAAACTTATATTCACACAAAAACTGCTGCATCGATGTTTATAGCAGTTTTATTTGTAACACATACTGGAAAGTATCCTGAAGTCCCAATACCAGGGGACTGGTTAAAGGAGCTGTTACTCCCGTCCTGCGGAATATTACTCAACAAAAAGGGAACAGACTATGGACACACACAAGTGGAATGTCCAGAGAACAATGCCAACTAAAAAAAGCCAGTCCCAAAGGGTTACCTGCCATCATCCCATTTATACAACATTCTTAAAAGGGCAAAATTATAGAAATGAGGACAGTTAGGCGGTTGATAGGTTTATCAGCTTTTCATCACTGTAACCAAAACACCTGACAAGGAAAGTTTATTTGGGGCTCACAGTTCCAGAGGCTCAGTCCGTGGTCCACCCACTCAGCAGCCCTGGGCCTGAGTGGGGCAGAACATCATGGCGGAAGGGAGCAGCAGAGGAAGCTGCTCAGCTCAGGGGAGTCAGGAGCAGAGAGAGAGGAAGAAGGGGTAGGACACCATCCCCAAGGGTACACTCCCAGGGACCCACTTCCTCCAGCCAAGCCCCACTTGCCTACAGTTACTACCCAGGAGTCCATTCACATTATTAATCCATCAAATGGATTAATCCACCCAAGTGGCTGCAGCTCTCATAATCATTTCCCCACTGGACACTCCTGCACTAACACAAGCTTTGCAGGGGACACCTCACATCCACACTACAACATGAGGATTAAAGAGCAGGTGGGATGGGAGAGGAGCAGGTGTGGCCGCACACGGGCAATATGAGGGATCCCCGTGGTGGCGAGAGCAGTTCCTGTCTTGCCTGTAAGGACATCAACATCCAGGCTGTGATATTCTACTGTATTTTGCAAGATATGGGGGAACCTGGGTAGGGGTTCAAGGACTTCTCTGCATTATACTGTACAGCTGCCTGTGAATCTAGAATCCTCTCAAAAATATACAAATTCAATAAAAATGAAAAAGGAAACATTCTAGCCTACCAAATGTACGTGGCCTCACTGAGATCAGGGTTAAGAATTCATTATGGCCCCTGGAGTCTGCGAAAACTGTGGAATCAGATGGTTCCAAAATGGGCCACACCCAGCAGTTTCTGCGAGGGTCCTGGGACTCTCCCAGGTCCCTGTAGGGGTACCTCTGGCCACAGGGCAGGAGGCCTCCTTTGGAGAGCTACCCCTCCATTTTTGCCATAGGTGCTACAGAGGTCATGACAAGGAATTCGCCAATAGCAAAGTAACCCCAAATGTGTCCACTCCACGGAGACCCGGATGCCAATCTTTTTTGCGTTTTAAATCAAACGTTCCAACACATAGCCAATGCTCCACCTCTTGTGGCAATTTTTTCTTTTATCTGAATTGCACTAATAGAGCTGTTCAGGAAGGAAATGTTCCATCCCACAGGGGCTAATATAGAGAATTAAAATACACATACGATACCTTTCAAGACTTTTATGTCCAATAACTATAATAGAGTCATATTAGAAAGTGATCTTAAACCACCTCTAATGCTCTCTGACAGAATTACTGAGATAAAGGGATTTTTTTGGACCCTCTTTTTCAGGTCTAAATATTCATTCAATCCAATAAAGACATTTTAGAAAAACAGTCACCATATAAAATTTATTTCATTTTTTTCCTTCACTTTGTTTCAAACAGGAATTATTTCAGCAACATTTTATGTCTTAAGCATTTTCAATAAAATTGATGATGAAGAAGAGTTTACCCTTCCCCTACAGGGACACCAAGGAGCTCAACTGGAAAAATACTGTCGTCTATAAACAGAAACATTCAAAACATATTTAAATCCCCTGAGCGCTTGATTTTTCCAATTCTTTTCCATCTAGACTGAAACGGATGTCAGGAAATTTCAAAGACCGATGGCTGAATCTAAAAGGAAAAAAAAAGTCATTTAGTCTTCATGATCACTGCCAGGGTCAGTCCCCAGTACCTTACACTTTCTGATCACACTGAACGTCACCAGGCTGCTTCTGCCTGGGAGAAGACAAATCACCAATCAATTATGTACACTAATTAAAAATGCTACCTTAGGAGGTATTTTAATAACTTGGTAATGGGGTGAAGTGTTTCTTCTAATTGCTTACTTTAAAACATTTTTGGTAACAAAAACACTAGCCAGGCGGCACCGAACACTTACAAACATTTCATGCTACAGTCTACATGGACTATCCAGGGGCCCCCGGCAGTGGTGGTACAATTCTGCAACTGGTTGAGGTCACATGGAAAATAGAATTATATGCTAATTTGTCCCTATATTAAGTTATCATAAAGGTTAGACGAAACACAGTAAAGTGAATTCTGGAAAAATAATTAACTAAATAGGTTGGTATGTACCGTATCAAAGTAAACTGTTTATCTTAATAGATACAAATATAAGAAAGATTTTTTAAGGCAGGGGTATTTTGTCATTTTCAAAAACAAGTGTTTTAACTAACCCCAGGCAATGACTTACAAAATTTAAAAATTTTTATATAAATAGTTGTTCTCTATAGAAGCACAGGGGCAGGGTAATTTTTTTTCAAGGGGGAAAAAAAAAGAAAAAGAGAGAAGGGCATAGTATCCAGAAGAGAATAATTCTCCCAGAAAAAAACTTCGCTTTACCTACACATCTCTTAAAGTTAACTCACATAAACAGTTCTCTGTGTGCCGTAAAATGAGCACGCACGTTCATACTAAATGGTGGGGTCACAAAGTATTGATTTTAATGCATTTTTAATTTTACTCCAAACTAAACATCAACAGAGGTGTTTTTCTTGGCATAGATCTGCCTGAAGAAAATATGCTTTATTCAAAAATCTATTGAGAAAGAAAAATCTAAATTATTTTTTCTGGAAGACATAAGTCATTCTATGGACACTGCGTTGATTTAAAAAAACCATAAGACCAAATCAATCGTTGAAGAATTAGGCCTACTAGTTTCATATACGATGACGGCACATTCCTCATATTTCTGGATTTTAAAACTACTTTTGTAGAAAAAGAGAAAGAACATGGGAGGCAGGTACCGATGGCCACATGAAATCTTGCAGCATGTGGAATCACAAGTGCAGGATTTCGTGAAGCACCCAGTTCATTTAAGAATACAACAAAGACAGTGGCAGAGATCATCTGTGTCATACCCTTAGGCAAATTCCTGGGGAAAAAACACAATTATTTTATACTCTCAAGTCTATCCTTTCTGCCATCAAAGGATGTATTTATAATTTCCATATAAGAAATATGCCATGCCGTAGGAGAGCTTGCATTCATACAGCCACCTGAAGTTCCTTTAAATCATAACTCCTTTTTAATTTCTGAAGGGATTTTGCCTATTGATTTTAATGATTTTATGACTACTAGTTACCATAGAATGAGTTAGGTGCTCATGAAATATCAGTTTGACATCTTGTTCAAATACTTACTTTTCTCCCTGCATTCCTAGCCCTGTCTACCCTATTTTTCCACCTACCAAGTTAGATATGGAGATATTCAGATATAAAATCTTCAAACACCTGGGCACATAAACATGCAGGTATATACTTCTATTATTTTGTTGGAAGGATTTTTATGTATTGAGATCTTAATACACTCCTCCCCCTCCCCAAAAAAAGAGCAAAAGTCTAACAAAAATGAAAACCTGCACTGATGCCTAAAAAATCAGTACTTAAGTAAATTAATCTTCATTCCCAGGGAACGCAATCTGATGTCCAGAGACTGAAAGTCAGTCTACCATAAAATATGGCACATTAAATACTACAATGACCCATTTGAAATGTCTTCATGCAATTGTGAGGTCCTCTACAAACAACTGTGGATACAATTATATTTTAATATTCAGTACCAGAGGTTTCCATGCAAAATATATTGAAATTGTAAAGATACTGAAGTCGGTTTAAGATAGCATCAAACAAATCAGTAGCTATTCCATGGCAAAAATGCTGGCTGAAAATCAGACTTGAAAAGAATTATTAAAATGAGGAAGAAATATTGAGTTATCACAAGCAACACTACCATTCCTGCTTATAAAATTCAGGATTTCAACCAGCTACTGGGAAGAATGAAAAGCTTCTTCTAACCAGCTAAAAAGAAAGTCTTTACCAAGCCCCTTGAAAAAGCTCATTTTCACATTACTCAGGCTTCATTATGCTAAATCAATATTCGTTTAGTCACTGGGGTTATTGACATATTTTAAAATAAAAGTATACCCTTCAGCTACTGCACTCATTACAGGTAATTTGTCTTGTCAGAGAGCAGGGAATATTATCCTAGTCTTTCAGGGGCTGACAGCCCATGGAAATACCTCCCCATGGTTACAACTGTAAATAATTTTAAGGTAAAATATTGAAAAATCAATGACTGTTTCCTGCAATCTGTCACAAACAAATCAATCATAATCTGCACTGCCAGAGAGTATGATTTGAAGGAGATGGGAGCAGATGTAATTCTTGGCTGGAATCTCTCATTTCAAAATCACTTCACATAATGGTGTCATCATTTAAACACTTAACAGTCGGTGCGACTGCCACTGGAACATCCAGTTGGACAAAACCACAAGCAGGAGGAGGAGAAAATGCCATCACTATTATGTTAACAAACATTTAATTTAAAGGGTTGCTGCATTAGTAAATTTCCGCTGAAAACGGTTTTACCTGCCTCTTTTGCAGTTTGAAATTAATCAAGGCTGCTTTTCTGTGTTCTGATGCCTAGAAAATTAGCCCAGGACTCAAAGTATACTCACAGGCCTTTTATTTTAAAAGTCCATTATAGAGAATAAAATTTGGAATGACAAATAAGACATTTCCATTTCAGAATATCCATAATTCTGTGTTCAAAACAATGATTAAAAAACAGTGCCATTGATGTCAAGATGATACTTTGATGACTTAAGAGCAGCTGTAAAGGAATACAGTAAGACCTGTTCAATCTAAACACATCCCTGCGCTCCATATACAAGCTACACCACAGAGGGATATACAAAAAACCAGTGTGATAACCCAGCATCCAAGAGCAAAAGTTGCTCAAGGTCATAATACTGAATAGTTTTACAAATGTAAACTGCTTTTCAAATAATCACTTTGATATTCCCATTTTTTCTTACACTATATTTTACGGTTTCCTCAGCTGCTTATAACCCTCTGTATAGGTGTGAATAAAAGAATCCGAAAATTGGTATATTTTGCCTTTCTGTTGGGTTAACCCCAAACACTATTTGACATGAAGATTAGTCTCTTTTCTGAAGGTTTGTGTTTTTAAATGTTCACTAGTTCCTTTAGTGGGTGAAACCAATTTTAGCTATCACATTTCTTACCGATTGCCTAATTATACAATTAGACACCATGAAGTCCTTTATTGTTTTATTAATATTCCTCCCTAGATAGAGTTCAGGGGGCAGACATCTTTGATGACTAGAAAAGTAGTTTTTCTTAACAAGGAAAACAAATAGATACAAATACCATTCCACAACAGAAGCCTGTAGAAACCTCTGAGACGAAGTAATTGGTCTTTTACAAACACCAATTTCTAATTTAACCTGCATCATCAATGTGGAGATTGGCATCAGGAAGTAGAGTCTTTTCTGATAGATCCAAATCGAACCCAATTTTTGTTCTTCAAGAATCTTAGGTGTATTTCTCCAAGGCCAACTCCAGGTTTTTGAAAACGAAAAAGCACGTGGGTAAAGCACCAAAGGCATCCCCCAGAACCAAGCAAGAGTCCTCCTTCCATGGGAATCCCCGCAACAGCTGCAGGCTCAGTAGCCAAGCAATCTCGCCAGTGGAAAAGGAAAGCTTTACCCCGGCCTAGGATTACAGGAAGAGCAGAGAGAGACCCACAGCTCGGAACCAGGACAGGCAGCCATGCACTGAGCTGCTGGTGCACGCACTGGAACGCCCCAGGCGGGCCCAGCTCACTTCTCGCCAGGGCTCTGGAACCAGCTGCCAACCACCAAGTCCTTCCCTCTGAGCCTGGCTATGGCTGGCAGCAAATCACCCTGCAGAGAACACATCCCCCAGTGAACCAACAAAGGACCGTGAGGTAAACGGGGACAGTGGGACAAGGCTGCAGGCGTGCGTGTCAACCACAAACTGAAATGTTAGTCACCTACTAGCACCGACCAGGACACCATCACAGAGCTCAGTCTCAGAAAGAAGCTATTTTAAGGGTGCTGAGTCTGCCGAAAGGGTATTTCTCAGTGTTCCCAACGCAGCCCTTACATACCCTAAGAGAAGCAGGCTCAAAAACTTAGCAGAGGAAAATAAGTCTGCTTGCATATCCCAAATTCAAAGAAAAGGTGTCTAGTGGACAAAATTCTTATATATAATGATGGTTCGGGATTACAAAGAAAAGTCTTCTTTTAAGAGAGAGAATATTACCTTCCTGTCTGCACAATCTCCTCCTTCCAACAGCCAGGACACTAGATCCATCAGGAGCTGTGGACTCCTGGAAACAAGAACAGAATGGTCAGCCCCCTCTCTCCTTCCTCTTCCTCCCTTCGTGGGATCACAATTTAATTACCAATACTTCAATTGATTTTATTCCTGAATGATTTCTCAAAAAGCATACTCGTTAGCTATTTCCACCAGAGAACATTTAGTATGACCTTATCCATTAATCAACCCTAGCCCAAGACTGGAGGCCGCTTCCTTCTGGTTTCTACAGTGGCAGACCTTGCCCACGTCTATTTTATTATAAAAGGAATAGAGTTTAAATACATTTGAGTTACACCTTCAGTGCATGTGAAATATAAGTTTTCATAATAAATTTGGCAGTTGACAGATGTGAAATTCAACAAATCTGCATATATGTTTAGATTTTTTTCCCATATTTATCCTTAGAAGGAAAAAGAAACAACCATCTAGATCCTTTCATCTCTTAAATTCAACAATTCTGTACATGGTTTAAAACAAAACAAAAAAGAAAGCTTAAAGGTAAACAAAGAGGAATCAGACTGCCCTCCCCCTCCCCGCTGAGCATTTTCTTGATATTTGTGTCATGTTTTCTCACTTGCTGGAATGCCTCAGCTCTCGGCCATACACGAAAAACTCCCTTCCATAAGTCCCAATCAGTAACAGGGGAAGTCAAGTCTATTATTTATAATCAATTATTATTTCACATTACAGTAAAAATCACTTTAATGCCTTAGAAAGTATCACAGAGAAGCATTTTTTTCTATCGAAATATATGCTAACTATACTGCCTTCTGTAGAACTAGATTTTTATTTTTGTCATATACTAATTTTTTTACTCAACAAAATATCCTGATACTAAGTCCTATTCCTTGCTCTGCCCACTAGACAACACAAATATTCTGCAAAATAATTCTTTCTCATGCACCTATATTCAGCCGCCAAATTTTCATGAGAAATGGCAAGTTCTGCCTACACCTGTATACTCTTCACCACTAAGAGTTTGGTGCTCATGACTGGATCACAAAATTCACCATTAAAAGAACTAGGTAATTAAAATAATCCCAAAATGTGATTTGGTACAAGTAGAGTCTTTTTAAAAAATAATAATTGTATTTCTATAAAATATCTTAGTCTTCATATTTATGAAAGGTAATGAGTTACTTTATAAATTTTGCTACCCAGTAGTATCATTCAAATGAATTATTCAATGTAATTCCAGGAAACATGACAAATAAAAATAAATAAATTATCCAGTGTCATTCTACGAATCCAAAAATTTTCTATTTACTACACTCTCGGTGAATGCAATAATGGAATTTCAATATTGAAAGGCCTCAAGTGGCATTCTCTACCTTCTGTACTTAGCCTCTGTCACCAGTGTCAATTCTTTGGTAAAGCCAACCCTCATGCTATTTTGAGTCACTCCACACACAAGCATCCCCACGGAATGTGTGTGCAGACACTCACCTGCAGATGAGCCTTGGGACATGCAAGAATAAATTTCAGCCAACATTTGGAGGAACCATACAGTTTGAAAGTGAACTTAGCTGAAAACATCCAAACGTATTATGGAAACATCATACTTATCACCTGTATAGAAAATGGAAATGATTCTGTTTAAGGAAACACAGAAGACTAGCAATACTACTGGGATATTAGATATGAATATCTAATCTAATTTTCTCCAAGGTATCACTCCATATTATGGTGAATAAACAAATAAAAGCTGTATCAAGGTGTGGAATATCATTAGCTTGAGAAAAGGCTAGAAAAATGGATTACATAAATCACAACTGCAGGAGAAAATTATATTCCCTTCTCCTGAACAAATGTCAAGTTCATCCTCACTAATAAAGACTTAAACTCAAACTACATTAGAATATACTGGTTTTCAATTTTGAAGCATTTAAGTTAATTTGCCAAGCTAAATTGGTGCTTAGGTATAATACAGCTATAAAAACATTGCAGATTTATGCAGAAATAAGTTATCAGTATCACACTTCAGAGTAGTGCCGAGAAAGCAATCCAAACTCATTATTGAAAAGGAAAATAGAATTTCTAGATTTTTACACATTCTTAAAGCTGTCCCAGCTGTTATCCTATTTAGAAAAATTATTCTCCACCAAACAGCTACCAAATATGCCAAAAAGATGTTAAAAATACAGACATCAACACATAACCTAGAAAATGAGGAGAAAAAAAAAAAAAACAAAGATACTGAGATACTACCACTCAAAAACAGGCTGGGCTAGTTTAGAATAAAAACATGGTTTCAAAGTATAATATTTATAATCTATTTAAAAGAACATATTTAATCCATTCAGGATTATAGGATTTCATTTATTTCCATGTTATCAACTAAAGAACATTTTTAATTTTTCCTAAGATTTCTAGAATATATAAATATATTAATAATTACTTGATGCTATCAATCAAAACTGATGATATGCAATTAGTTCATGTTCCTATTTCATCTCTTCCAACACAATAAATTTTTAAATAACACATGGATAATAGCATGAGGATGGAGATGCAGCTGCCAAAGAAAAAAATTTTGATGGGGGGCTGAGGGATAAATAAAGCAATTATCTCTAAATTAACGCTCTTGTTTTAGTTTGAGCAAACAAATCTAAATAAGTCTCCCTTTGATTTTAGTTTACCATGTAATTCTAACCAGCTAATTATCCTTGGAGTCAAGAATGAGCTGTGACTCTACACCTGGCTTTTCCGATCATGATCATATGCCTGTGGTCTCCTCTACTTTCATTTCCTCTTTCTACAATGAGTTTTAATATTAAAGGGAAAACACACACACCTCTCTCACACACACTGATGGACAGCCAGCTTCCAGGAAAGAGTGAGCTACAAAGAGAGGGGGAAATCTTAATGTAATCCTTATGTTAAGGGGTATTAGGTGCTGGGTAAGCCAAAGGTAATATAATCAGCAGCATCCGCCTTGCCATTGTTTTTGCAGTCAGAGATTTAGAGTGAAGGACAGTAATGTTATTTTAGTGGACACCCAGGTTATGATTCAGATCCTTAAACTAATGCATCGTCTCCACTTGCTCATCAATTCAAATTTACAGAACAATATTTTGGAAAAGATAAGTTCTCCTCTATTTCTAGAACTAAAAACAAGGCATTCCACGAATGTTGTAGCTAGGCACTTGATAATATGGAAAAGAAACTGTTTTCCACCATTGAGACATCATGGGAGACTCTTTCCTCTCCAAAAAAATTCCAGTGGCATACATTTCTCATGTATTCACCTTTTTGTCATATTCCTGTTTCTGAACATTAAGCATGGCTTCCTCAAAAGGTGTTTTCTAAACACCAATGTTTGCTTAATCATATACTGCAGTCTTATGTTTTTAATTTTTTTTTCAAAATTAGAAACCATTTATTCTACAAAGGTAGAGTACAAAGAAAGCAAGCTGAGAAAATGTATTGCCAAAAAGCCACAAGTAGTATTACTACATGCCAGAACACTTAACATTAAACTACCATTTCTCTCTAAAACTTCTGTTGCCAATCTGCTCACAAAATCTGCAAGCAGAAAGAGAGGTTTCAAGTGCAATTAAATTCTCCAAAAGCAAAACTGTACAAAAAAAATGCTGCCCTTCTTATGTCTCCATTTATAGACAACATTTTCTCAGGATCTTAATTAAGATAACGATGCACACCTGTGTCAACATTCTCTGGCAAGACAGCCTTATCAATCATAATCCTTTAAGTACACTCTAAAACAGCCAAGCAATATGACAGAAGCAATCTGTTGCCTTTCCTGGAGTTGGTGTTGTGTCTCTCCCACAAGAATGATGAGATCTTTAAAATACAGCAGCCCTACTTTTATGAGTCTTTAAAGTTTTAACAGTAAACAGCTATTACACTAAGTAAACAGGAGTAACCTCTTTTGCACTTGATTGAAACAATGACAACTATACAGTCAAAACTCGAAGAGCAAGCTTCATGGCCATGTCCTGACAATACAATTATGGATCATGTTTGAAAGCTTTACCTTTTAAGAGTTATGCATAACTGGATCCAAGCAGACAGGACAAACCAATAAACCCTTAGTAAGTTTAAATATGAAGTTTAAGAGCCCCATGTTAAAAACAATCAGAGCAAACCTATCCCTAGTGTAAGTTAACATATTCAGAAAGATATAAATGCAGTGGTAAGTAAAAAGAAAAGCCAAGAAAAAAAAAATTGTGGGTAATCTGAGATGAGTTGGGTTGGTCTCACCTCTGCTGGTGGAGAAAAGAGATTCAGTGACAAGAGACCTGTGAAACTACTGCTAACAAGTAAACTGATTCTCAAATGGAAAAGCTGATGAACAGAAAGGGAAAGAATGGGGAACAGATCCTCACCACCAAGATACAAAGTTAAAACTCATTGTTTACCAGAGAAAACGTGAAAGCGATCATCTAAAAAAAGGGAGAACATCAGCCTGATGCAATCTGAATTCCGCCTACCTACTAATAATCAGTCCTTCCCTTTCACATATTAGCTCAATTCTATCTCAGAAGCCGGGCGGCCGTGGCCAGCCGAGCAGCAGAGCCATCAATGTGCAAATAAAGCAGAAAATAGAGACATCCTTAAGAAATGAGTCTTAAATTTGACGTAGAGCGGAGGTGACAACCACGGCAACAGAACCATAAATTCTAAATGCTTCAATATCTTTCGGGATTCTTTCCAGTCCTCCCTGACACAAAAAAAGAAGAGACCAAAAGCGGGGTGGGGGGATCAGGGTGGTGGTGGGGGCGGGAGAGAAACAGCCGTGGGTCCAGAGTGGTAGGATTATGTAATGAGGATGTCTGCGTGACAGACTCGGATTCTCGGTGGCACAAACCTCCACGGCTCCATTTCAGAAACCCATCGTACTGGACCAGAGCCGAGAGAGTGATGGAGAGGACACGCGTGGACGCAGGGGACACGCTCACGCGCGTCCTCCCGCGAACCGTGACACCGAGAGAGGCGTATCGGAGGTTCTCGCGGCCCACGCGCGGGGCCCCGCCGCGTCCTCCTGGTCCACCAGGGGACGCGGCCGTGGCTCGGAGGCGGAAGCCGGCGGCGCGGCACTGGGACCCGGCTCGGAGGGGGCTCACCTCTGCTCCGCGGAGCGGGCTCGCGGGACGCGGACGCTCCCTCGTGGCAGGCGCGAGTCCCCGGCGGGCGGCGCACGCGGGCTGCCACCGACCGTTAGCGCGAAGGGCTGCAGCGGCGGCGGCGGCGGGCGGAGCCGGGGGCGGGCGCCGAGGAGCCGCGCGACCGCGGGAGGCGGGAGCCCAGGCAGCGGGGCGGGGACGCTCCGGCTGCTCCCTGCCGCCACCAAGACAGCCCCGAGCCCGCGAGGGTGAGCCGAGAGGCCGCCACTGGCCTGCTCCGCGCTTCCCGAGTTCGGGCTGTGCTGGCCGCTGCGCCTCGCTCCAGTGTCGGCGGGCTCGCCACCCCCTCGGCCCCGAATCCTGTCCCGGCAGTGCTGCCGTCGGCTTCTCGTCTCCATGACAATAGTGCAACCGAAGCCCCGCCCGGCCCCGCCCCTTCGGTGCTGGGACTCGGAGGGAAGCGAGTCTACGTCATTAGGGGGCGGAGCCAATGGAAGACGACGTCCAATCAGAGGCGAAGGCCGTGTAACGGGAAGGGCGGAGCTGACCGAGAGGCTCTCGGATACTGTAGTCCGGAGCGCTCTGTCGGCCTGGGGGGCGGAACCTCGATGGGGAGCAGACGGAGGGGAGGAGTCAGCGCGCGTGCGTGAAGGCGCGCCGCCGGGCGGGTGCCAGTGTGAGGAGTTGGGGTTAGTGTTTGCTCTGGCTGAATGAAGCTCAGGATATAAAGTGTGTCTTGCGCGTCAAAGTCATTGTAAGAAACTTTGTGTATGTTGTGCTTCGGTGGCGTGTGGCTCCATTATAAAAGCTCACGAAGTCTCTGATACACAGAACTCGACCGCAGTGCCCGACACTGGGCAGGCCCCTGTCTGGTTCACCAGCGCCCCTGTCTGTCCCGGAGTTCGAGTGCGTCGGTGACTTGAGGCGGCGGGAGGCGGAGAGATTGGGAGAGGATCTGTTTTGTATTCTAACTGAGTGGCCGTGGTGGGCAAGGGCTCTGCCTGTGACTCAGTTGTGTTTGTCTTGCCAGCGCCTCGCTGAACAAACAGTGGTTGGGTTGGGCACTGCTCTGCCTAGTGTTTGCAGTGGAGCTTGGGCGGGTGCGAGAGTGCATGTGAAAGGCAAGGCAACTTAGTTGAACAAAAGGGAAGGGGACCCGCACCCTCCGCCACTACCGACCTAGCAGGGCTAGCTGCCCATGGAAAACCGACAGAAGGACGCTGCGCCACAGGGGGGTGGAAGGGGAGGTGGGGGGGGGGGCGAGGAGGTCTGGGGACCTACTCCAGTGTCGCACCTTCTCCGTTTGGTAGTTCTTGCCCACTACCTCTCCTCTAGAAAAAGGCTACCTCGGCAGTCCCAGGACCCCAGTGTCGCCTCCCTCGCTGTCCCGCCGGGCGGTCAGTGGAAAGAAGGCCGAGCCGAGGCCTGGCTTTCGCCCACCTGCTGCTGCCGCCGCCGCTGCTGCTTCTGCTGCTGCCAGCGCAGAGGGGCAGTCATCCCGGACTCCCTGTGCCCAGGGCGCCGGCATCCATTGGCTGTCTCGGGGACCTTAATCCCGGATCTCCAACTCGCTCCAGGGACCCCTGGCTTGAGGGAGAAGCCAGTGGGGAGTGGGTGGCGAACCACCTCGTAGCCCAGCCTCCCAGAGAACAAGAAATCCGCTAACAGCGAGGAGAGGAGAGCACCGAGCGTTCGCCCGAGCAGCCTGCGCCTTCGCTCCCTTTGTGCTTTCAAGAGGCCGGACCCGTTATCGGGGCCCGCCGAGCGTCGAGACTGCCGCTCCGCCCCGAGTTAGCCAGGGAGGAAAGTTGGAAGAGATCGGCGCGCTCGGGATGTGATTGTCATCCTGGGGCCGGCGCTCGAGAGTCTGGGAGAAAGAGCGAGAGGGAGAGACCAGGGAGGGGAGAAGGGGGAGGCAAGAGAAAGGGGGGAGAGGGGGTTGGCGGAGGAGAGGCGGGCGCTAGGGAGGGGCGAGGGGAACGCCAGCGAGCGGGAGAGGGAGCCGGGGAGGAAGAGGGAGAGGGCGAGGCGCGCCTGGCGGCCGGGTTGGCTGTGGCCGCCCAGAGGCTCCTGCCAGTCCTCCCACCGACTACACCCCAGGAAGGAGGAGCTTCGGGCGCGCACAAGGCGTCAGAATCCTCAATTTCCAACTTAGCATCTTGGCAGGACCTTTGCGAAGCCAAAAGCAGAGCCCCCCGGTGCAAAGAGCGAGGGGGGAAAAGAGAAAGCAGCAAGGGCGGGGAGGGGGAAAAAAGCCTAGCCGGGGCGAGCGAGGCGCGCAGAGGAGCGGGCGCGGCGGTCGCAGCCGGAGGCGCGCGGGAAGCCAACAAGGAGGCGCCGCGGGCCGGAGCCCCGGAGCCCGGGCTCGAGGAGCAGCGGCCCAGGGCAGCCAGAGGCCAGGTGCCCGCCCGCTCGCCCTCGCAGGGCGCCGCCCGACTCGTTGGCGGCCGCGGCGCGGCGCGCCCCATGCCCGTGTGTGGCCATGTCCTACCCGCAGGGCTACTTGTACCAGCCGTCCGCCTCGCTGGCGCTCTACTCGTGCCCCGCATACAGCACCAGCGTCATTTCGGGGCCCCGTACGGATGAGCTCGGCCGCTCGTCTTCGGGTTCTGCGTTCTCTCCCTACGCTGGCTCCACTGCCTTCACGGCGCCCTCGCCGGGCTACAACTCGCACCTCCAATACGGCGCCGACCCCGCGGCTGCCGCCGCCGCCGCCTTCTCCTCGTACGTGGTGAGTGAGCGGGATCCGCCGCGGGCGAGGGCAGCCGGGCCCGGCTAACGGGCGAGGGCTGCTGGGGACACGGGCCTAGGCACCACTGCCGACCTCCCCCGCCAGGCTTCGCGGTCCCTACAAACTTGGGCGATTGTCTCGCTGGGCTTCGCCCGGGCCTTGGGCTCAGGAGTTGTTGGGAGAAAAGCCGCGTCTAGCTCGGATCCTTGAGGTGGAGGGAAGGGTTTTGAGGGGAAAGGTCGTTGCAATTAAAGCCGGATTTGGTTCAAACGGAAACTCCGGGCCGCCCTGCAAATTTTATTTTTTTTGGTTTTTGGAAAAGTTCAAAAGAAATAGATCCGAAATCAGAACAGAAGCGTGCTAAATCTATGCAAATGTGTTTGGCCTCGCCTTTAATTAATCCTCCAAAATGTTGCAAATCCGTAATCCTATCTTCACAATCCGATTTGGAGGTATTAAATTTCTGAAAAGTCGACCGAGCTGCGGTGCATCCGGGATTTTTCGGCCGGGTGCACTTTCTGGAAAAGCGCAGTGGCTTCGATTCGGGTTAGCATTTCTGGAGGGTGGGAGTGCTAGGCAAGGCTCAGCCTTTCCTTTGCGTTTCTTTGTGGATTAAAACAGAAAGAAAGCAAGCCTTGGCTTCTCTTGTTCTACCCCCGTGCGCCCAACGTGAGGTCGCCCCAGAGCGGAGCATGGAGTCCCTGCTCCTGCCCAGGCCTCTATCTGGATGGTGGGCCGGGCGCGGAGGCCAGATTTGCGCACAGGGCACGGTCGTTCCCCGGCAGACCGGGTGGCACCGAGGTCGGGACAGCTTCAGGGGTCCCCGAAGGACCAGATTCAGGAATTGGGGCCTCTGCTGTCTTCTGAGGAGGGGGGCGGTGTGCTTCTGGGTCTGAGTCAACCAGCCCTCCCCCAGGGGAAGCTGGTTTGAGGGCCTGGCTCGCCCGCAAACCCCGGGGCGTAGGCAAAGAGTGCTACGGTCGTTCAACTGGCAGTGGAGACCCAGGCCCACACTCACCTCCTCTCTGCCTGTCCCCCGCAGGGCTCTCCCTACGACCACACACCCGGCATGGCGGGCTCCTTGGGGTACCACCCGTATGCTGCGCCCCTGGGCTCCTACCCGTACGGGGACCCTGCATACCGGAAGAACGCCACCAGGGACGCCACGGCCACTCTCAAGGCCTGGCTCAATGAGCACCGCAAGAACCCCTACCCCACCAAGGGCGAGAAGATCATGCTGGCCATCATCACCAAGATGACCCTCACCCAGGTGTCCACCTGGTTCGCCAACGCGCGCCGTCGCCTAAAGAAGGAGAACAAGATGACGTGGACTCCGCGAAACCGCAGCGAGGACGAAGAGGAGGAGGAGAACATTGATCTGGAGAAGAATGACGAGGACGAGCCCCAGAAGCCCGAGGACAAGGGCGACCCCGAAGGCCCTGAAGCAGGTTGGTGGATGAGGGAAAGGATTTGTGGAGCTGGAGTTAAGTGAATAGGGGGCCTGGAGGGGGCGCGCACGGGGCCTGGAGGTTTGGGGCCAGGGTCTCTGCCTTTGCAGGCGGGAACCGGGGCCCCGCCGCGTGGCCTCTGCGTTTCTGACAGCCTGGGTTTCGCCCACAGGAGCCGAGCCGAAGGCGACTTCGGGCTGCGAACGGCTTCAGGGGCCGCCCACCCCCGCCGGCAAGGAGACCGAAGGCAGTCTCAGCGACTCGGATTTTAAGGAGCCGCCCTCCGAGGGCCGCCACGACACGCTGCCCCGGCCCCCCCGCGCCGGCGGGCCCTCCCCAGCGGGGCCAGCGGCGGCGCGGCTAGCGGAGGACCCGGCCCCTCACTACCCCGCGGGTGCGCCGCCGCCCGGATCGCACCCGTCCGCGGGAGAGCTGCCCCCCGGTCCCGGCGGGCCCTCGGTGATCCACTCGCCACCACCGCCGCCGCCGCCAGCGGTGCTCGCCAAGCCCAAATTGTGGTCTTTGGCAGAGATCGCCACATCCTCGGACAAGGTCAAGGACGGGGGCGGCGGGAGCGACGGCTCTCCGTGCCCACCGTGCCCCGGGCCTGTAGCCGGGCAAACCCTGGGAGGCAGCCGCGCGTCGCCGGCCCCGGCGCCGTCGCGCTCGCCCTCCGCGCAGTGTCCTTTTCCGGGCGGGACGGTGCTGTCCCGGCCTCTCTACTACACCGCGCCCTTCTATCCCGGCTACACGAACTATGGCTCCTTCGGACACCTTCACGGCCACCCGGGGCCCGGGCCAGGTCCCACCACCGGTCCGGGCTCTCATTTCAATGGATTAAACCAGACGGTGTTGAACCGTGCGGACGCTTTGGCTAAAGACCCGAAAATGTTGCGGAGCCAGTCTCAGCTAGACCTGTGCAAAGACTCTCCCTATGAATTGAAGAAAGGTATGTCCGACATTTAACGCGGGCTGCGTCGGTCCCGGACTTGCATAATTTATTAAAACCATGGCCTTGGCAGTTATTTTTCCATCACCAAGAGAAAGAGAGAGAGAGACAGAGAAATAAACTACCCTTCTATTCAAAAGTTTATAGTTTATGGAGATGGATGACATAAAGATGTAAACATCTCCAAATACAAAAAAAAAAAAAAGTCTTAACCAACCGAAAAGAAAGAATTAAAAAAGGATTTGTATTAAATCTTATTCTGTATATTTAATGTAGCATTTTTGTATTTAAATTGATAATTCAATATCTTTGAAGTAAATTATGAAATCGAGACACCTGTACAGGCATTTAATGTTTTTTGTAATATAAATATATACATTTGTGTTTTCCCCAAAACTGTTTCATAGTTTAAAAATACCAAGTTTAATTTAATTTTTTACACCTATTGATTTTTCTGGGTATGAGCTAAAGTATTATTACGGAAAGGAAACAGGTTATACTCTTAGATTTAAAAAGTAAAAGAAACTGCAGCCGCCTTTGTAAAATGCAAAATATTTAATTAAAAGAGATTTTAACAGAATCAGAGCCACTCATTACTCTTTAGAAGCCTCAATAAACTGTCCATTGCCTTGGTCCAAAAGGTGCAAATGCAACTTTTTTTCCAAGTGGGAAATGAAAGGTTCCACAGCCCCTCAGAGCCCCATGGGGAAAGCCATAATTAGGCTCCAAGCCTGGGGGAACCCGGCCCTGCCCGGGCAATGCGGATTTGGATCACTGATGCGGGCTGCTCCGGGAAGATTGGACCCTGGAGGAAGGAGAAGAGACCCAAGTGTATGCCCAGAAGGGAGAAAAGATGGCAAATCCAGCTAGAGACTCGCAGCACCCGAGCGCCAGCGCTTAACCTAATTACTTCCAATCAGTGTCGTGTTTTATGCAAAGCAATCAGCTGGTGAACTTTGCTAATGAGTTCGATTTTATGCCGGATTTAGCCCTTATTACTATTTCAAAGGTGCTGCTGGCTAATGCGGGAGGGGAGCGTTAGGGGATACCAAGGGAAGGCTTTCCCAAGTCACTGTCTCCTCTACTCCTTCAATATGGGGCATTGATCTCTTCTTTGGATTTGATTAAATTAGTGAACGTTCCATCCGCGACCACTCGGGGGGCGGGGGGCCCTGTGGATGCCCAAGCAGCCTTGGGGCTGGGGTCTTGGGACCGGCGAGGGGACCGTTCCCCCCTTTCACAGGTAGGTGTCACACTTGTCCTGAATTTCAAGCCTGCACTTTGCAGAGTTGGAGATCCGGTAGTGGGAGGAAGGGGGTGGGGTGGTAGGGAAGGCCACAGTCATTTGGGGGGAAGCTAGGGGAGCCCCCGAAGGAATCCAGAGACCCTCCCCCAAGGGCCTCTTTTTGGACAAGTGGCTTTTAGAAGCTGGAGGTCATATGCCTAGATAAGGAGGCCTTTGTGGACTTGAGGCTTGTCGTCGCTTTAGCACTTTTCCCCAGTTCAGATTCAAGAGTTTTGGCCCAGTAGCTACAGAAGTATTTTTGAGGCTTTTTTTTTTTTCATCTTAGTATCGCATATTTCATCTCAAAATGTGAACTCAGGATGCATCTCAAATCTAAATGAGGAAGAGACACCACCCAGCGTCGGAGGCCAGCCAACCCTCACTGTTCCGGCTTGGCTGGGGTGCCAGAGTCTCCATTTTGCGCCTGACATGGAGCCGCCAACGTGTTTCACTTCGTGGGAAATTTTTGGTGGTGGGGGGAGACAGGGTGTGTTACAGCAAAAACATACTCCGGCGAGGGGAATTAATTTGCTCTATTAAACCCAAGTCTCAGTGTAGAGAGAGCATGTGTTTGCACATAACACCGGTTTAATTAGGCTAAATCAAAATGCACATATTTGCATTTCTACTCAGGATTGCTTTAACCCTACTCGGCTTTTTAAACACATGCCAAAGTTGCACCGAAGTTGTTGCTCTTTTTTTCCCCCCTTGATTTTCACCTGCAACGGGGCTTCTTTAGTCTATTCGAATTTAAACAAGTTTTGAAAGTAGCGTTTGTACAGATATTTTAGCGAAGAGTGGTCGAACTTGAAGGCTTAAATTAGTGAGAAAATTCACGCCGGGAAAATAATTTTAAAGCTGGAAGTGTGAATGATCAAATATGCATGAGACGATCGTATTTTATTTTGTCCCTTTAATTATAAATTATTTTTTAAACAATTGAATTCCAGAGATGACTATCTCCTTCCCGACCACCGCCTCCAGCTCCTCATCCCTCCCTCCACGCCTCCCCCCGCCCTCCAGCCTGGCTCACAATCAGTTTTTCACCCCCTGTTGAATATGCAGCCCCAGGAGTCACCTTGTCTACTAAAAAGTGGGAAGAATAGGCCAGTCTCCTTCTCTTAAGGGGGGAGTTTAAGGACGACTTCAACTCGGCGGGGTTTTGGAAGCAACGGCCCTAAACCCTGACCAACGATTTTAAAAAGAAAATTACAGGCCTCCTTGTGCTCCTGGGTGTATGCAAATGATGCGGCCTCCAAAGTCAGACTGCGAGGGCTCAGGGCTGCAAGCCGAACGCCCGCCGCCGGGCAGCCTGGGAACCCGCACCGCGCCCCCGGGAGCGCGCGGCCTTTCTCCCCACCGAGGGGCTGCACTTGGAGCCTGCCGGCCGGGCAGCAAAACCACCCAGGGCTCGGCTGTTGGTGCCCAAGTCGCTGTCCTCTGCCCACATCCCTACCTCCCTTGACCTCTGCAGGGTCTATAGTTTTTCTTCGCCTGGTGGTCTGGAGTAAAAGCCCTCACTTAAGTCCGGGGTTTTCTTTTCAGGGCAGGGTTTCGATGGCCAGAGGCCTTTCTGATGTCTGTCTAGTGACTTTCCAGTTCGGAGATGGCCTGCCAGGTAGATGTAGGTTGCGGACGTTTAGGAAATCGTGGCTACGTTTGATCCCAGAAGTAGTTGTCTGTCTGTAGGGTCCCAAGTCCTTCTCAGAATCTCTGTTTTGTCACCTCTCCAGTCGTCTAGGGAGGCACGGGCTGGGGATTGGGGACCTTCTTGCATGTGCGGGGATTAGTGTTTGTTCGCAGGTTTGGATTGGGACGCTCAAGCTGCGACAAGCAGTGCCCAAGACACTTCGGTGCTGGGTTGCAGGGGCTGTAGCCACCTGCGCCTGGCTGGGCCGATTCCTGGTCCCAAGGAGAGCTTCATTCGGTATTTAGGGACTAGAAGGCACTGAATCAATCCCAAGCCACAAGGGTCATGGGATCACTGAGTGGGGTCTGTGCAGACAGTCCCCTGAGGCAGCGCCAAACCAGGAATGGGCTGGGTCCCTTTCCCTACCCCTTTGCACGGGGCCGATTTTCAGATCATGGGATTTGGGAGTGAGGGGACAGTAACTACAACTAATTTCCCGAGGGGGCATACGCGGACCTTGGGAGGTTGCGAGATGGGACCTTTCTCCTTCCTGCTCCCGAGTTTGGGGTACCTGGCCCCTAAATGTCTTTCCACCAGCTCGGGTGCGGGGCCTGCTGCGAGGCCTCCTAGTTTGTAAAGCTGTCGGGGCCAGTCATTCCCGAGACGTGCACAGCTCTTGGGATCTGGAAGGTTGAGGCGAGAAAGGGTCGTGAATGCGATTCCCGCGCAAGCCTTGTCTTTCAGCCCACCTGTCCCGGGCAAGTGGCTGCCAGATCCGGTGGAGGCACGCAACAGCGCATTGCAAAATGCCCAAAGTGAAAGGAATGTGATTGCACTCCTAAGGAGCCCGAAGCGGATGCAGTTTAGGAAGGGCGCCGCCTACTGGTCCCCCAGAGCCACCGGGCTCTCCGAGAGGGGGAGTTAAGAGAAACCCTGCTAAGCCCCCACCCACAGCAGGGCTTAAGCTCTGAACTCTGAGCTGGTCAAACTTAAGCTGTTCACCACCCCAGGTTGCCTCGGCCCTGGACCCCAGGACCCAGTTAGCATTGGGGATTTGTGGAACAGGGCCCATGACTAAAACAGCTTTAACCCTATGGATTCCCGCCATGGTTTCGCACTGTTTCAAAAACCTGGCATCAGACAACTGAGAAATATGTGAGCTACCAGATAGCCCGCGGGTGGGGCCGCAGCTGCGCCGCCCAGGCCGTGCGCGACGTTCCCGCTCTGCGCCAGGTGCGCACGCGGGCACCTCGGTAGGCCCGTCCACGCGGGCGCTCAGGACGCAGCGCAGTCGGGTTCCAGCTGCAGTTTGGAAAGCTCGGGTGCGGGTACCACGCAACCGTTTTGGTCTTAAAAGCTTTTGCCCCCCGTGGGGTGATCTTTATAGAAAAAGGGAAAGCAAAGAAAACAAAAGCTACCCCGCCATCGCTTAGAACCCTATTTCGAAAGCACCTTCAATGGCAAAGGTGCGACGCTTACCCCTGCGTCCGCCCACCCGGCCGGAAGTGCTAACGGGTGGTGTTGACTGGTCTCCCTCTGCTTCGGGGACGTGTGGGTGAGCAGAGCGCACCGTCGGGCTGTCGCTTCCCATCCCTTGGGGCTGCACCATCTGACAGAGAAATCGGGCCCAACTGAGACCTGGCCGTCTGTCTTTCCCTCAAACTAACCAAAGCTTTGGTGGGACTATCCCTGGACTCACCCTGCAGGTCTCCCTTTGTGACCAGGCCAGACCCGGTCTCCTTTTCGTTTGGGGCGATAAATGTGACTTGGGTCCCCGGTACTAGGCGGGACCAGATGGCCTAACAGGAGAAGGCCTCGGGGAGAGGGCAGCCGCTCTTGGCTGGACCCCCTAAGCTGGCCTGCCCCCTCGGGGCCCCTAGGGGTCTCCCGCCTCCTGTCGACTGAAGCTCCCAGCCCTTCGTCCCCCAAGGCCGCCCGCAGGGCAGCGCTCGTTTCCGGCGCCCGAACGAGCCCCGCGCGCCCAGACGCCACTTCCCAGTGAGATCTGCTTTTATTTGCTCCGAGCGAACCCCAGGCTCTCAGCGCTCCCGCCTGATGGATGCAAATGTAAATGTGCACTTATTTAATTGGATCAGGCCCCAAGATAAAAGAGATAAACGGCTCCCCGTTTGCTAACTTATTTTCCGAGGCATGCAGCGCCGCGTGGAGGGGAAGCTAATGAAGGAGCCGCGCGTCGCTCAGCGCTCCAGCTCTCCGCGGCGGTGGCGGGTTGGCCGGCGGACTCCGCGTGGGCTGCGACTCCTCCTGGACATCCTTGGCTCTGGGCCTGCACGCCCGGTGGGCTTCCCGCGGGACCTTTGCGAGGCCAGGCTGGGAAAATGAGAAGGCACGTACCCGCCCTCGCCACAGACGTCTCCACTGAGGCTCGGACCTCTCTCCTTCGTACCCAGCTCTCCAGGCTTGGGTCACGCCGGGAAAGCCCACCTCCCCTCCCCGCAGGCGTCGTCCTTACACCCCAGGAAGCGTTTTCAGTAAGAAAGACAAGAGGGCAAGGAGGGAAAACCTTGCGCACCTCTCTGGCCACCATGGTCAGGTGGACCTGCCCTCCACACGGGCAGACCCCCTTCTCTATGACCGGGTGGCCTTCTCTGGGGAGTCTGGGGTGTGTTTCCGAATTGGCTGAACTCCATGGATTAACCCCTCCTCCCCCCAATAATGTACGTACTTAATACACACGACAATTTAATAATCGCCAGGGG